GGATGGGGGTGAGGGGGGAGGTGTAGGGGCAGGTGTAGCACTTCCTGCGGTTGCAGGGAAAAGTGCCAGGGGTGGTGGGGCTGGTGGGGAGTGTGGAGCAGACAAGGGAGTCATGGAGAGAGCGGTCCCTCTGGAAGGCAGATAAGGGTGGGGAGGGAAAAATGTCTTTGGTGGTGGGGTTGGATTGCAGATGGCGGAAATGCCGCAACTCAGCCCTCACACCCCCTCCCCGCAATAACAACCAAAACAGAATCCTCCTCGTCCTCACGTACCACCCCACCAACCTCCGGATCCAACGCATTATCCTCCAACACTTCTGCCATCTGCAATCCGACCCCACCACCAAAGACATTTTTCCCTCCCCACCCTTATCTGCTTTCCGGAGGGACCGCTCTCTCCGTGACTCCCTTGTCCGCTCCACACTCCCCACCAGCCCCACCACCCATGGCACTTTTCCCTGCAACCGCAGGAAGTGTTACACCTGCCCCTACACCTCCCCCCTCACCCCCATCCCAGGCCCCATGAAGATCTTCCACATCAAACAGATGTTCACCTGCACATCTGCTAATGTGGTATACTGTATCCGCTGTTCCCGTTGTGGCCTCCTCTACATCGGGGAAACCAAGCGGAGGCTTGGGGACCGCTTTGTGGAACACCTACGCTCGGTTCGCACCAAACAACTGCACCTCCCAGTCGCGAACCACTTCAACTCCCCCTCCCACTCCTTGGACGACATGTCCATCCTGGGCCTCCTGCAGTGCCACAACGATGCCACCCGAAGGTTGCGGGAACAGCATCTCATATTTTGCTTGGGAACCCCGCAGCCCAATGGTATCAATGTGGACTTCACAAGCTTCAAAATCTCCCCTCCCCCGACCGCATCCCAAAACCAGCCCAGCTCATCCCCGCCTCCCTAACCTGTCCTTCCTCCCACCTATCCCCTCCTCCCACCTCAAGCCCCACCCCCATCTCCTACCTACTGGCCTCATCCTGCCTCCTTGACCTGTCCATCCTCCCTGGACCGACCTATCTCCTCCCTACCTCCCCACCTACACTCACCTTTACTGGCTCCAACCCCACCTCCTTGACCTGGCTGTCTCCTCTTCATCTATCTTCTCCTTTATCCATCTTCTATCCGCCTCCCCCTTTCTCCTTATTTATTTCAGAATCCCCTTCCCCTCCCCCATTTCTGAAGAAGGGTCTAGACCTGAAATGTCAGCTTTCCTGCTCCTCTGATGCTGCTTGGCCTGCTGTGTTCGTCCAGCTTTACACCTTGTATACTCACTTAAACTGTGTTCCAAGTACTAACATGCAGATGAAAACACAAATAAATAGTACAAATAAACACAGACACCCATTTAAAGACAAACATATAATCACATATCCACAAAGATACAAAGAAAAGGACACATGAACACACAATGGTTTCATTCCTGGTTTCAAATGTATGATTTCCCAACATTTACTTCATATTCGCTTTCTTAATTACAGAACACGTATATACTTGCAATTACTGTTTCGTGTTTTGCTCAATCATTGCTCCAGGATCTGGTCTGCAGCTATATCTGGTGAAATTTACCAGTCACGATCCATGTAGTAACATTTTACAGTATTTCACAGAAATATTGAAAGTCCCTTTATTAAAACATCATTTTTAACTTTCTATCTGACAGCTTGCAGACATGCCCTGATTAACACTTCAATAAATTACACTTGAATTTATATTGCACAGTGTCGCATTTAAAGATCCGGATTTGTCTCACTAGTGATTTTTTTTGGATTGAATTGTCTAGACTGTTTTTGTGTGGTAAATACTTCAAACAATATTGGTTAGTTCAGTTGGCTGGATGGCTGGTTTGCTGATGTAAAGTGATGCCATCAATGTGGGTTCAATTTGTGCACCAGCTGAGGTTACCATGAAGGACTCTCCTTCTCAACCTCTCCCCTCACCGGAGGCGTGGTGAACCTCATGTTAAATCACCACCAGTTGTCTCTCTCTGATGAGAGAGCAGCCTTCTGGGACTATGGTGATTTTACCTTTACACAGTAAGATCCCACATGTAGCAACAGAATTTGATGGGTTTGCGTTTAGATCCTTCCTCCAATCCTGCCATGGGTTCTTTAGCATCTACTTCGATCATAGATAGAAGCTTTAATGTTTCATTGTAGAGATGACATCTGCAACAGTGTAGCACTCCAGCTAGAATGCCAGTCTTATTATTAAACCAAGTCCTGGAATGATTGGGAATTTATTTTGAGATTTGCTGAGAGTGACAAGTGATGTTCCATATGGTTTTATACTGGATTTTTAGCTTTTCATCCGATTTATCAATGACTTGGCAAGTTAATTACAGTTATAGCTCCACAGTTGCAGAAGGCACAATGCTGAAGGGACAGTAAGTATGTAGATGGGAGGAAGAAGTTACAAAGGGACATTGACGGAATCAGCGAGTGGGCAAAATTATAAGTGGCATTCAATGTGGGGAAATGTCAGACAATCCACTTTGGATCCAATAATAACAAATATTTTCTAAACAGTGGGAAACTGTGCAAAATAATTTAGATGTTCCTGCACATAAAATACCAAAAGGTAGTGTGTATGTATAAAATGCAATCAAACAGATCAATGGAAAGTTAGCTTTTACAAAAGGAGGACAGGATACAAAGGGAGGTAAATGATGTACCTGTTTGTCAAATGCTGTTTGGTGTATTACATTCAGTTCTGGCCTTGGCTACTGCCATGGAAAGGATACGGTGGCCTTGGAAGACAGATAGGAAGGCCCAACAGAATGAAACCAGAGCTTACAGGGTTAAATTATCAATACAAGTTGCACAAACTTGGCTTGTATTCCTTTGAGTAAAGCAGACTGAGTATTTAAAGGCTAAAAGGGGTTGATAGGGTAGCTATAGAGAAATTATTTCCTTTGGTGTGAGAATCCAGAACAAAATTGGTCACACAAAATTAGAATAAGGAATTTGGGAGAAATCAGAGATCATTTCATCAAGTGTCATAAAAATCCAGAACACTCTCTCCCAAAATGCTGACTATGGGTCAACTTTGTCTCATAAGTCTCAGATTGATGGATTTTTGCAAGGTAAGGGTATCAAGGCACATGAAGCAAAGGTGGAAATAAGATTGATCTGTAACTGTGTGATTGAATGGTAGAACAGGCTTGAGGGGCTGAATGGTCTACTCCTGTTCCTATGAGTAGAACTCAAATTTATATGCTACCTGATTCATATGCAGAGAACATTAGCAACAATAATAATTTTTATTAATATCTTTTATATCAGAAACCATGCCAAGACACTTTACAGGAGCAGTACAAAGCAAAATTAGACATGGAGACGCAGAGACAATGTTAGATCAGACAGCCAAAAGCCTGGTAACTTTTCAGGGACATCTGAAAGGAGGAAAGAGAGGTAGGGAGATGGAGAGATATAGGGAGAAAAGTTCCAGAAACATGGGTCCAGGAGGCAAGGCCATCTATGGTGAAACAATTGGAATCTCAGATCAATTCAGGATTGGGGCACAGGGTGATGTTAAGGAAGGGTGAGGACAAGCAGGGATTTGACAACAAGGATGAAAATTTTAAAATCAAGATATTGCCTGGATTCGAGCCAATGTAGGTCAACAAACACAAGGGTAATTAGTGAATGAGACTTAGTACAACTTAAGATAAAGGCTGCAGAATTTTGAAAGGCCTCAAGATTGTGAAAGATAGAATTTGGGAAACTATCCAGGAGAGCATTGGAATAGTCACATATAGAGGTAACGAAGACTGGAGATGAGCTGAGACAAGAGTGAATTTAAGCAACATTACCGAGGTGTAAATACTGACGTTGCAGATTTATTCATGGCATGTGGGCCTTGCCATCTGGGCCAGCATTTATGGCCCATCCATGGTTGCACTTGAGAAGATGGTAGTGAGCTGCGTTATGGCACTGCTGCAGTTGATTAGCTGTAGGTACACCCACATTTGGAAGCTCATCATAGTGATCAAAATGACACCAAAGCTACAAACAACCTGGTTTAGCCTCAGACTGCTGCCAAGTAGAGGGACGGAGTCTGCAGCTGGGGAATGGAGTCTGGAGAAGGGATTAAAAACTATAATTTCTGTCTATCCAATATTTAATTGGAAGAAACTTCTCCTCAGTCTGTACTGGATCAGATAAGCAGTTCAATTATTTGACGACAGTGGAGGAGTTGAGGAAGGTGGTGATGAGGAAGAGCTGGGAAAATTAGCACGTGAAAACTAACACTGGGCTTTCAGATAATGTAGTCAAGTTGCAGCATGTGGATGAGAAATAGGAATGGCAGGGAGGGAAGGGTAGAGCCTTGGGGGCACCAAAATGAACAGTGGAGGAGAGGAAGGAAAGCCATCAGAACTGATAACTTGCTACAATTTGATAGATAAGGTCAGAAACAGGTGAGAGCAGTCACAGCCAGCTGAACAACAACAGATAGACTATGGAGGAGGATGGAGTGAATGAACCATGTCAAAGATTGCAGACAAGTCCAGGAGAGAACATTTCTCTTTGGCCCATTAACATTGGGATGTGCTTGTGACTTCAGTACATCCTGATTTGGTACATTGGCTGAGTAGAAGTTTGACCAGAGGAATTCAAACAGGAGTCCCAGGTAAGATGGGCAGGGATTTGAGAGGTGACAACACTATTAAGGAGGGTTAAGCAAAGTTGAAGATAGGGTGGTAATTTGATAACAAACGGAGCCAATCTGACAGTCCCGTGTTGGAGATTATACACCGGAAAATAGCTGTATTTAAACACAGTCTTTCGGCGACAGCTTTATTCCAGTTAACCACACCCCATCAAACTCAGAGCCCACTGATTATTAACACCCCATATTTATCCAACCAGTTCAACTAACCATTAATTAAAGTATCCATCCCTCTGTTCCCTCATTCCATTGGGTCTCGGGCATTCCTTTAGATCATATTGGATGATAACAATGGAAGCCTCCAGACTGATCACCTCACCTCCTGCCTCTCTATGATACTGATCCTTGTCCTGATGTATGGGAAAGCATGCAGGGTTGTCAGAATGGTTTTACGTTTATATTGCTGGCTGAGCTCCCCGTGCGCCCGGCCATTCAATGTATACGGTGTGCTGTAGATGAACCTCCGCAAGTTTGAATTCCTCTCATAGTAGCTGACTCGGTTTTTCAGATCGTACTCCTCAAAGTAAGGCTCGACGTAAGTTATCTGAAGGTAGGCCTTCAAAGGAAACAGAAAGGCAACAGTTTAACCATCTCTTAGAAATTCCTTTCTGACTGAGCTACTGAATGTTGACAGGAGCAGGAAACTTGGCTGTTTTTAACCCTTTCTGCCCAACTACCCTTGCCCACTGGGACCCCCTCTCTCTACCCTGGCTGCGAACAAATATAGGAGAACCTGACATTCCAACTCTGCATGGCTGAGTTTACCATTGCCCTGACCAGTGGAACTAAAGGAACAGAAGTTAAACACTTCCCATACACAAAGCTCCTAATGGATCTTGAATTCTTTCATAGTCCCTCCATTCCATACACTGGTCACAACATTGTATTTCCCAGTAAATAAAAACTGAAAGAACTGCAGATGCTGTAAATCAGGAACAAAAACAAGTTGCTGGAAAAGTTCAGCAGGTCTGGCAGCATCTGTGAAGAAAACAATCAGAGTTAACGTTTCAGGTCCGGTGATCGTTAGTCAGAACTTCCAGTTCCGAGGAAGGGTCATCGGACCTGAGACGTTAACTCTGTTTTTTTCTTCACAGATGCTGCCAGACCTGCTGAGCTTTTCCAGCAACTTTACTATTATACTACCCAGTTTTGACTATACATAACCCGTACTTACAGTGCCCCTGCCCCATCCCCGGCCCATCCCCCATACTACTGCATTGCCTCTTCTGTAACCCCCAACACCCTGCAAGATGCCCTTAGGCTCTGTGATTTTATGGTTCAACCATCAAATTTAAATTTCTGACAGCTATGAACACACCTTGCTGGGCTCCAGCTTTCCTTTCTTCACTGGTGACGATTCTTTGATAACTTCTACTTGATCTTTTCCAAACTGCTTCTTGTAAAATTCCTGCAACAAATATGCAGATTGATTTAAGACCCAAAAAAAATGAAAGAACTGCAGATGCTGGAAATCTGAAACAAAAACAGGAATTGCTGGAAAATCTCAGCAGGTCTGGCAGCACCTGTGGAGAGAAATCACAGAGTTAATGTTTCGGGTCCAGTGACTCTTCTTCAGAACTGATGGTAGCTAAGAAAAGGAAGGTTTTTATACAGAAGATGGGGTGGGGAGGGATGGGGGAGAGTAAACGATAGGTGGAGACAGAGCCCAAAGAGAAAGAAAAATGGCTGGACAGACAACAGAGTGGTTAAAGGTCAGTTAAGAGTAGTGGGGGACAATTAGTGGCTGGCAATAGGTAGTGTGAGGTAACAGGCTGTGTAATGACAAGCCCTGGCGTGTGGAGGTAGGGGAAAGCATAGGGAAAGGTGCTCAATCCCTAAAATTGTTGAACTCGATATTGAGTCCAGAGAGCTGCAGGGTCCCCAAGCAGAAAATGAGGTCTTGTTCTTGCGCTGAGCTTCGCTGGAACACTGCAGCAAGCCTGAGACAGAGATGTTGGCCAGGGAACAGGGTGGTGTGTTGAAGTGGCAGGCAACTGGAAGCTCAGGGTCTTTTTTGCGGACAGAACATAGGTGTTCTGCAAAGCAGTCACCCAGTCTATGTTTCACTTCCCCAATGTAGAAAAGACCACATTGTGAGCGGCAAATGCAGTAGACTTTTTAAAATTCATTAATGGGATGTGGGCATTGCTGGTTGACCAGCATTTATTGCCCATCCCTAGTTACCCTTGGTAGGGTGGTGGTGAGCTGCCTCCTTGACCTGCTGCAGTCCACCTACTACATGTTGACCCACAATGCCATTAGGGAGGGAATTTCAGGATTTTTGACGGAGGGGCAATGAAGGAACAGCGATACATTTCCAAGTCAGGATGGTGAGCCACTTGGAGTGGAACTTTAAGATGATGGTATTCCATGTATCTGCTGCCCTTGTCTTTCTAGATGAAAGTGGTCATGGGTTTAGCAGGTGCTGTCTGAGGATCTTTGGTGAATTTCTGCAGTGCATTTTGTAGATAGTACACACTGCTGCTACTGAGCATCGGTGGTGGAAGGAGTGGATGCTTGTGGATGTGGTGCCAATCAAGCGGGCTGCTTTGTCCTGGATGGTGTCAAGCTTCCTGAGTGTTGTTGGAGCTGCACTCATCCAGGCAAGTGGGGAGTATTCCATCACACTCCTGACTTGTGCCTTGTAGATGGTGGACAGGATTTGGGGAGTCAAGAAGTGAGTTACTCACCGCAGTATTCCCAGCCTCTGACCTGCTCTTGTAGCCGCTGTGTTTATGTGGCAAGTCCAGTTCGGTTTCTGGTCAATGGTAACACCAGGATGTTGCCAGTGGGTGATTCGGTGAACCATTGAATATCAAGAGGGCGGTGGTTAAACTATCTCTTATTGACGATTGTCACAGTCTAGCATTTGTGTGGTGCAAATATTACCTGTCACGTGTCAGCCGAAGCCTGGATATTGTACACATCATGTTGCACTTGGACATGGACTGCTTCAGTATCTGAGGAGTTGCAAATGGTGCTGAACATTGTGCAATCATCAGCAAACATCCCCACGTCTGACCTTATGATGGAGGGAAGGTCACTGATGAAGCAGCTGCAGATGGTTGTGCCTAGGTAATTACCCTGAGGAACTCCTGCACTGACACCTGGATCTAAGATGACTGACCTCCAACAACCACAACCATCTTGCTATGTGTCAGGTATGACTCCAACCAGTGAAGAGCTTGCCGCCTGATATCCATTGATTCTAGTTTTGCTAGGGCTCCTTGATGCCACGCTTGGGCGAATGTGGCCTTGATGTGAAGGACTGTCACTCTTACCTCACCTCTGGGATCCAGCTCTTTCGTCCATGTTTGAACTAAGGCTGTAATAAGGTCAGGAGCTGAGTGGTCCTGGCGGATCCCAAACTGGGTGTCACTGAGCAGGCTACTGCTGAGCAGGTGCTGTTTGATAGCACTGTTAATGACACCTTCCATCATTTCACTGATGATCGAGAGGAGACTGATGGGGCAGTAATTGGCAAGGTTGGATTTGTCCTGCTTTTTATGTACAGGACATACCCGGGCAATTTTCCACATTGTCGGGTAGATACCAGTGTTGTTACTGTATGGGAATAGCTTGGCTAGGGGAGCGGCAAGTTCTGGAGAACAAATCTTCAGTACTATTGCCAGAATGTTGTCAGGATCCATAGCCTTTGCAGTATCCAAGGTCTTCAACCATTTCTTGATATCATGTGGAGTGAACTGAATTGACTAAAGACTGGTATCTGTAATGCTGGAGACCACTGGAGGAGGCCGAGATGGATCATCCAGTTGGCACTTCTGGCTGAAGATTGCTGCGAAAGCTTCAACCTTATCTTTTGCACTGATTTGCTGGGCTCTTCCATCATTGAGGATGGGGATATTTGTGCAGCCTCCTCCTCCAGTGAGTTGTTTAATCATCCACCACCATTCACAACTGGATGTGGCAGGGCTGCAGAGCTTAGATCTGATCTGTTGGTTGTGGGATCGCTTAGCTCTGTCTATCACTTGCTTGTGCTGTTTGGCATGTAAGTAGTCCTGTTTGGTGGCTTCACCAGGTTGACACCTCATTTTCAGGTATGCCTGGTGCTGCTCCTGGCATGCCCTCCTGCACTCTCCAATGAACCAGGGTTGAACCCCTGACTTAATGGTAATGATTGAGTGGGAGATATGCCGGGCCATGAGGTCACAGATTGTGTTGGAGTACAATTCTGCTGCTGTTGATGGCCCACAGTGCCTCATGGATGCCCCGTCTTAAGTTGCTAGATCTGTGCGAAGTCTGTCCCATTTAGCACGGTGATAGTGCCACAGAACATGATCGAGGTTATTCTCAATGTGAAGGCAGGACTTCGTTTCCACAAGGACTGTGCAATGGTCACTCTTACTGATACTGTCATGGACAGATACATCTGCAGCTAGCAGATTGGTAGGGATGAGGTCAAGTATATTTTCCCTTTTATTGGTTCCCTCACCACCTGCAACAGACCCAGTCTAGCAGCTATATCCTTTAGCACCCATACAGCTCAATCAGCAGTGCTGCTGCTGAGCCACTCTTGGTGGTGGACATTGAAATCCCCTTCCCAGAGTACATTTTGTGCCCTTGCCATCTTCAGTGCTTCCTCCAAGTGTTGTTCAACATGGAGGAGTAACGAATCATCAGCTGAGGGAGGATGGTATGTGGTAATCAGCAGGAGGTTTCCTTGCCCATGTTTAACCTGAAGCCATGAGACTTCATGGGGTCCGGAGTCAATGTTGAGGACTCCTAGAGTAACTCCCTCCTGACTGTATACATTTGTGCCACAACCTCTGCTGGGTCTGTCCAGCCGGTGGGACAGGACATATCCAGGGATGGTGATGGTGGTGTCTGGGACATTGTCTATCAGGTATGATTTGGTGAGTATGACTATGTCACGCTGTTGCTTGAGTGGTCTGTGAGACAACTCTCCCAATTTTGGCGCTAACCCCCAGAAGTTTGTAAGGAAGGCTTTGCAGGGTCAACAGGTTTGTTTCTGCCGTTGTCCTTACTGATGTCCAGGTCGATGCCAGGTGATCCGTCCAGTTTCATTTCTTTGAGACTTTGTAGTGATTTGTACAACTGAATAGCTTGCTAGGCCATTTCAGATGGCAACTGACAGTCAACCACATTGCTTTGGGTCTGGAGTCACACGTAGGCCAGACCAGGTTAAGATGGCAGATTTCCTTACCTGAAGGCCTTTTTATTGAAATGCAGGTAAAGTACAGGTAAAGCGCTGCTTCATCTGAAAGGTGTGTATGCGTCCTTGCATAGTGAGGAGGGAGGAAGTAGATGAGCAGGTGTCACACCTTCTGCGATTCCAGTGGAAGGTGCCATGGGGCTGTGGCGGAGGTGGTAGGAGGGAAGGACAAATGGACCAGAGTGTCCCAGAGGGAATAATCCTTGTGGATGGCTAACAAGGGAGGGGAGGGGAATATCTATCTGTTAGTGGCATCCCACTGGAAGTGGCGGAAACGGTATATACTCTCATTAGCTCTGTATCATACAGAGACCCACCATGTCTGTGCTGACCATAATGCCATTCTAAACTAATCCCATCTGCCTGCATATGATCCATATCTCTCTATTCCCTACCTGTTAGAGATGACGAGTAGGAATACCTGGTGACAGTGACTTCTCACCATATGGAATGGTGTAGTGATAATGTCTTTGGATTAGGAGAGCAGCTTCTGACTGAGAAACAATGAGGAGAAGGCCAGACCTGGCCACTGAGGGGAGTGGGAAAGTGGACATCAGCTTTCAAGGCAAGAGCTGTGTGAAGACAGCCAGAGCTGGTCAATTGGAGCAGGGAGCAGGGAGAGTCACAGGACTTGGATTGTGACTGAAGATTTTAAGGTGGCATCAACACATTTGTGAGCATGCAGCCTGCTGTTGTGACAGCAATGAGTCTTTGCTGGCCTTAGCCTTTTCATTTCAGTGGGTGTGCACGCACAGGCATAGGTCACCTCTCAAAATGAAGTTTGGGAACATCTGGACCTTGTGGACAACCCTAGCAGTGACAGACCTGAACGTTGCACCATAATCATAGCCCGGGAACTTCAGTGAGGGCAGAAGGCTCACTCAGAGAACAAGGTGGCAGATACAACTTCTCCTGGACGGGTGAATTTGAAGAAGGACACCAACGCTATGGGTTGATTTTTCCTATTTGACCATCTCAACGAGCCTGCCTGTGGGATAAATGAACAGCTCAAGATTCTCTTCCCACCATAATCTACAATCATCAGAGTAACATTCCCAAACCTAGAAGCAACAGATGAAACCAAAGACGAACTCTAAATCAGCTTTGGTTAGTCCATTGTCCTTTGTCCCTCGGAAGACACGCTGATTCGCTTTGGCGATTTCAATTTGGAGAAGGACAAATATCTCTGGGAAAGGCAAGATTGGCAAGGAAGGTGAACACCATTGGAGTTGTCCTCTTGACAAAATGCCTAGATTATAGTCTGGTCATAACAAACACCCTACTTCATCTGCAAAACAAATAGAAGACCCCATAGCAATACCCTCGCTCCAGGCATTGACTACATTATCATCCTAGAAAGGGATCACAAAGATATTCACATCACCCACGCCATGACAGAAACTGATGGCAGCTGGATCAACCATCACCTGATGCGATCCACTATCTCCATCAGTCTGGCCCGACAATGGCAGGAAATTCAATGTCAATGGACTCGAGAACTTTGTGAAGTAAGACTTATTCAGTCAGCACCTCATAGCCAACTTGGTGACGCTCAATAAACAGGAACCACACAAAGTCCATGACACCTGGTCTGCCCTTAAATCCATCATAAACAGCACAAAAAGGAGACTCCACGTTATTCCACCAGGAAACATCACGACTGGTTGGATGAGAATGACCAGGAGACGGAGGAGCTACTAAATTGCAAGCACAAGCAATTTCTAAACTGGAATCCCCGCCAAAAAAGAAGGTCTACAGGTAAATGAAGGCTTAGGTACAATAAAAGAATCATTTCCTAAACAACAGACGGTAGGTATTTACAGTTCAGGAAATTCAGCTACTTATCCACAGCCTAATCATATGGATTCTTCAGCATAGCTCAGACCAGCTGCAGCCCAAGCACTGACCCCAAAGTTTCAAACGATGGCGTGGTTCTCATCAAGGATTTGCCCTTGATGCAGGTGCCCTCAACCACACCCCACAGTACACTGCCTGTCACCATCTTAGCACAGCCCCAACATGACACTCCCATGTGTGTACATACTCACAGACTGAGCTCCATCAGCACATTGACCGTGGTATCTGAGAGAACGGGCCTTAGGCTAAACATTAAGAGACCAAGGTCCGCTACAGCCTTCTCCCATCGGAAAATAGCGTCCTTCAATATCCAAGATCCAAGGCCAGTCACCGGTCAATGTGGATGATTTCTCTACATTTGGGAGTCTCCCCTCAATGAGGTCAGATATCAACAATGTATTAACAACAGAAAGTGCTGGAAAAACTCAGCAGGTCTAGCAGCAATCTTTGGAGACAGAAACAGAATTAATCTTTCGAATTTGAATCCAATACGACTCTTGTTCAGAACTCAAAGAGATCCAACATTTCTTCCAACGGCTAGCGCTGTCTTTGGCCTCTGAAGAAAAGAATATTTGATGGCAAGAACTTCAAACCTACGCACCAGGTTTATGGTCTACAGGGCAGTGGTAATACCTGTCCTCCTGTATGCATTGGGCAATGTGCGGCAGACACCTCAAATCTCTTGAAGAAAAGATCATCAGCATTATCTATGAAATTCTGCAAATCCTCTGAAAGGATAACAGTGTCCTCTCTCAGGCTGACATCCCCAGCATCGAAGAACTGGTTACAGTCAATCAGTTACATTGGGTGGGCCACATTTTCTGCATGCATCCATATTCCATGAAAGGATCAAGAAACCACCCCTTGGCTACACTGCCCTGCTCTGGCTGACTTTGCACAGACATGTGATAGGTCTCAAGGTCCCTCCCTGGCCTGCGAGACTCACAACCACACACAGATACTTTCCAATCCCCAGCCAGAAGCTAGAAAGTTTGTATTCTTTAGAAATAACAAGCACTGCAGTATTAAAGCGAGGAGTATTTTGCTGGAACTCTATATGGAGAGGCAGTGACTCAGTGCTACAACTGTGACTCTGTCACAGAGAGTGGAAGAGCTCGTATGTATATTTCACTTCTCAGGGAGATTGTTACCATGTCCTGAAGTTGCTGCATTATGATCTGTGACTGAAAGATCCATTACCTGTAACCTGGCAGAGATTTCCACTAGATTTGTGATCCCCGGCTCCTTGTAGATATATTCCTGCCCATCCAACTCTCCAAACAGCGACCCATAGAATCCCACGCGGAAATATGTTCCAAACAATCTTTTACGATCCTAAAAAACAAATCATTAAAAAGAGGGGGAGCTTTCATTAAAAAAAGGCTACAATTTGTCATTGCCAAGGTCAGATGTATCTCCAGCTGTTTGTTAAAAGACCATCACAGATCTCAGTGTGGAAAGTTTAATGGAGCCAACATACCAGTTACTTCAGGATGGAGGGCAGCTTTAGCACCACTCTGACCATAGTCCAACATCACTTTTCCATTATCACTGCAATTTCACCAGCAATTTCTGTTTGTGTTTCACTTTCCCTCTACACTGTCTGTTCTTTCCATCAGTTCAGCTCTTGCACTCAGTTCAAAGCTCCTGCAGATGCTGCTGGAAGCAACCCTGTTCCAGGGTTCCATTCACTACACAGAATTGCAGAATGGTTCCAACACATAGGGAGGTCTTCCAGCCTTTTGTGTTATGCTGGCCCTCTGTAAGAGTAATTCACCTTGTGCCACTCCCCCAACATTTTCCACAGGGCTTTACACATTGTTCCACTTCCACTAGTGATCCAATTTACTTTTTCCATAATGCTCAGGTTTAAGTGGTCATTGCAAAGATGGTCATTCTTTGTAGTGAATATTTGCAGAGTATCCATCTTTGGAAGTCATCATAACTGACCCAACCCAAAATACAAACCTGTGCAGTTCCCTGAATTGGGATCTAAACCAGGAAGTTTGCCTGACTTTTTCCATCCCATCCAGAGACATTGGGATGAAAGATAGTGGCCTGACCAGAGCAACTAATCATTCAATCCTAAACCCTGCTTACTGGCTCTTAGCAATTTCGAGGGACCTCACTGAGGAGCTTGCCCTGATTTTCCCAAATCGAGCAACATATTTACAAAGAAAAATATAGAGAAATTTAGCTAAATTTGTCAGTGAGCACCAGTCAGTCAGGGCCGGGGGCAGGGAATGGTCTGCTTGTGGCATGAGCTAAATAGTTGGCATATAACCGTAACACCAGTGACTTTGGACACCCAGATATGCCTGGCCCCTCACATTGAACATGAGTAATACTCACAGACTGGCACAAGAGCAGCATTTACCTTACTCAGGATCAGATCAAATGTCTCCTTCAGATTTCCATGGATAGCTGATAATTTTTTAACGTTCCGATAAAATTCAGCAATCGGAATTATGATCTTGTAAATTTCATAAACAGCTTCATAATATTCTGCCTTAAAAATGCAAAAGAAAGTATTTTTTCATTGTTTTTTGCAACACATTGAAGATATGAATATAGCATGTCCTAGCAGTAGTCTTATATTTAAAATGTGAATCTAATGTTTCACAGCTTACAATGTAAAAAATCAAACACCATCCCAGGTTAGATATTCTCAAATAAACATGTACTGACATGAAATAAAAGTCTATCCACCCAATTAAACACTGACGGATCATCCAAGTTTGTATCAGAGACAGTGGCTATTTTTGGCTGGGTTGGTTTTTGTTTGGGTGTCAATAAATCACAGGATAGGTACAGCATGGACTAGATGCATTGCAAAACCTCTTTGATACTGTATCAAATTCTTCAAGGTCCCTATATCACAGATTATAGATAGTTTTGATCAATGTGCTCAGATGCTCTTGAACAGGTGGGACTTGAACCCTTAGGGACACTACCACTGCACCATAAGAGGCCCCTATTCCTGGGCCATCACATCCCCATCACAGTTTATGTACAGAGTAAAACTTCCTTGTCACTGCCTCATCAAACAATCAGAGACAAAGGTAAGTACGGTGTAAAATTCTCTCTACACTGCCCACCAAATAGTCCTCATGTCAGGTACAGTACAGGCTAGGTGCCAAGTGAAACTAGACATGGGTGAGAGTAATAAGAAGATGCAATCACATTTGCCATTTGATAATCAGCAGGATTGAAGTCAGTGGGGCTTAATAATGGACATAGTGTATAAACACAGTGATGGGTTATGGCCTGTCTCATATCTCTTTCAGCTTCACTCAATGATTATGATTTCATATTCAGATTTGACTCAGATTGGACTCCCATCAGAGAAGCCTCCACTGCTGCTCTCTGACTTGATGAGTTGCATCACGGATTTTGGGAGCCTGTATGACCTCCATTTGCAGGCCAAAATATTGGAGCTATCTTTCATAATCCATTTCTCCTGCTCTTATTCAACAGGGAGCATAGGGTGGAGATTCAAGGCCAATTTTTTGCGAGCCATGTTGCCAGTGACAGTAATAAATCCCAGGAAAACTGAAAGTGCTGTCAAACAGGTAAGCTGTCCTCCGAACTGGATCCCAAAAAGACAACTCATCACCACCTTCTCGGGGTCAATTAAGGATGGACACTAAATGCTGTTCTAATCAGAGAACCCCACAGCTCCTGAATTAATAAAAAAAATCTCCAACCTGTGCTCCTCTTTTAAGCAAGAGATGGTGAGAGAATAGAGAACCATAAAATATAACGTTGAATCTGACCTTGTTAGATCCCTCAGCCCTACTGTCATGTAGTTTGACAAAGGTTGAACACATACTTTGTTGAAGAGCTCAAGTGCTTCATCCAATAACTCCAGGAGACCCTCTTCACTGAAGGAGTTTCCGGAGCAAATGCCCTCCTTTTCCATGGAAAAGACCTCGTCACACACCAAAGATTCCTCCAAGACATTAATGGAAATTTTCTGGTGAAGAAAGATTTGAAAATCAATTGGCAGCAGCCAGTCTGAGACTATTGATGACCAGCACACAACCAGGGACCACCAGCAGCCCATGGCCAAACAAGGACCACCGTGGCCAATCAGGGACCGCCACTGGCCAGCAGCCAATCAGGAACTAACAAGCAGCCAGCGTTCAGGTGCTGGCAAAGTATTCTAGTCTCAACATCTTACAAAAAAAAATGTATTCACAAATTAATCTTTAAATAATCTCAAATATTGAAAACGTAAGAATTTGTTGAAGTACAAATGAATTAACAAGTTAAAGGCAGGATGCTTGACTATCACTTATTCATTGAGACTTGAGGTGAGGAATAAGCTCAGTCCTGGTTGTGAGGACCTGATGGAAGTAAGAAAGAAATTGAGCTCACCAACTAAAAATGGTTCCAGATCTACAGGCTGTGGGATAGGGTGGTTGATCTAGACTTGGATACTCATCCTGACACATTGCCTTTTATCCATGTCCCTAAATGAGTGACCTTAAGGGATGCGAAACTCTGAGCTCAGCTTTGACTCATGGAAGATGTCATTCATATCTGTTTCTGAGCTTTTACAAATCCTTTCCCACCTCCCCCTTCCTACAGGTTTTCCTTGAAACCCAACTCTTAGACCATGTATTTGTTCACTTGTTCTAATCAGTCACAGCATTGGACTGCTGTTTTTGAATTGCTGGTGCAAGTCAGAGAGCGAAATGTTGAACTTCAGTTACCTTTTCTGAGAGAACAATTTTCCTCTGCTTCTCAGCCTACAATTTTTTCACATGACCTTTTTGTAAGTCAGGAAAGTTTTGGGTGGAAAACACATCTCATCTAAATCCTCAGAGGACCACAGAAAATTGCATTTTCTATCCTCCCCACCACAATTTCAGGATGCTGGGGAGGATTCCAGAAGCACTAAAAAAAAATTAACTGGCTTAGAGAGCTCATGACCACTGGGGGAAGGTAGTCATAGACTTGGCTACATTTGAAAGGTACGCACTTTAGGTGATCCCTTTAAATGACATTTTTATTTAGCGTGTTGTAATATGGATGTATTTTCAAGCCAGTGATCTGATATGTAAAGGTAAGTTGACTATGGTATTAACGACAATGTGCAAGTGTTGTCATAGATGATCGTACTTCTTTCTATTGACGGAACAGATATAATACATTAAAAATATAAAATAAATGTCCTGATGGTCTCTACTGTCATATTCTGTATGTAATTTAAATGAACTGACAGATCTAATTCTTTTATAAAAGGTTGCTTTTGAAAAGTTGAGAGAAGTATCTATACCTGCTCTTCTCTATTGATTCAGTGTCACTCTACTTTGAAATGGAAAGGGGATACTACTCTGTGAATGCTTGGCTGGTTTTCAAATTCTAAATTAGCTCTAGCTCATTAGATATTTTACTGTTCCAAGAATGATTGGCACCTTTTGACTTCTGACTGGTTGTTTTTGTTTGATACATACTTAAAAGATTCCATACTGGAGTCAGCATTTTGTATTTTGTAGTACCAATGGTGGTGGAGCTGAATGCAGCACTTTTATGAAATAGTTACAATTTTCTGCCCCCCAAATGATTTTAAATGAATTCCCAATGCATGACTTCCAAGTATTGCACATATTGGGTGAGTGAATATAGAAGGTTCATTGGGAGGGTCTGGAAGTGAAATGGATGATCTAAGGGGCTAAGGGATGACATGGCATCTGAGTAGGCATGGGGTAGGTGGGATGTGAAGAGACATTGGTGACATGGGCAATCTGAAGGGGCATATGGTAGCACTGGGCATGTGTGGGGAGTAAAGGACGAAGTTTAGGGAGTCTTTAAACAATGTTGGGAATTGGGCTACCTTGTTGGAGAACTGAGGTAGACCTTCATACTTGCCCAGCTCTGCTCCCATGCCTGTCATGCACTTAATTACAGTTCAGAAAACAGACTAGATACCCAAATTTTAAAAAAAATCCCAAGCCAAGTCATACATGGGTCAGTGTGCTTGTCAAAAGGTGCAAAAGTGCAAACTCCAGGTTTTCCCAAGCCCACAGGAAAATCTAGTCCAATTACGTCACCCTTATTCTGTTAACGCTTTGGTGAAGTGACTTGGAATGTTTTGTGTGTGAAAGGTGCTATGGAAATCTCAAATGCTGGTTGCAGTTTTGGTCTTCATATTTAAGAAAGATGTAAAGGAACTGGAGGCTGTTCAAGGAAGGTTTACTAGATTGATCCCTGGAACGAATGGGTTGTTTCATGAGGATAGATTGGACAAGCTGGAATTTAGAAGAGTGAGGGGTAACTTAATTGAAGTTTATAAGATTATAAGTTTATCAGATCCTGAATGGCCTTGACAATGTGTATATGGAAAAGATGGCTCCTCTTGTGGGTTAGTCCAGAACCAGGGGACACTATTTTAAAATTAGGGGTCAACCTTTCAGAGATCAGGGGAATTTTTTTTCTCGCAGAGGGATGGGAAACTTTGAAACTCTCTGCCTCAGAATGTGAAGGAGATCGTCTCAATGAATAATTTTAAGGTAGAGATGGGTCAATTCTTAGATGGGAATGCAGAATTTGGAACACAAATAGATCAGCCTTGATTATATTGAATGGCAGGGCAGGTATTAAGAGGCCAAAGGTCTACTTCTCTTATTTTGCACATTTGTAGATGTAAGTTGTTGTTGTTGCCACACATTGCCAGAAGCTGACCTGGAAACTCACGCTGCCCATGGGCAAATGGACAGTTCCTTCCACACGGTTCAAGTATTCTGCCACCAGAGCGGCGCTGTGCACCATGCAATGCGCTGCCTCAGCAAACTGTTTCCGTTCAATGTGCTTCATTGCAATGTTCCGCAGCCACATTAGGCGGAGATCCAAGTAATTCTGTAAACCCTTTGCAATTCTAAAGGAAAGCAGAAAGTATCTGGTTAGACAAACATCCTAGCCATCGAATCTACTCCCTGTTTACAGTCTGCCAGTGACCTATTCAAATCATCAAGGGCATTTTCAAAGTCTCAATGGATACCATTCATTTGTAAACATTGTCCGGTCTTGCTAATTGCATCTAATTAGGCATGAATGCATGCTTCACTATAAATGTCAAAAGGCATTCTAGTTGAACAGTTCCTTGGGGCTGTGAAAGGTAACCACTATCCTGGGGCTTTTCCTGTCACTGCCAGGAACCGAAAACCATCCATTACATTTGACCAAACAAAGCAGCACGCAGGACCGAAAAAAAGTCATTGTGGTCCATCTGGCTGATCCCAAAGGGGTTTCTGTGTGCCCAGGAATTGAATAGGACAGAACAGGCCAAAAGCATCGTTCCCTCCAGGTTCCCAGCAACAGCAATTAGGACAGAGACCCTGAAAAAGATGAGAGAGAATCTAGGAATCTGGATGTGTCTGAGACAGGGTTGATGCAGTGCTGAAATTTTCGCATGTTGCTGAAGATACAACAAGGCCTGTACTTTAGAGTACCTTGGAAAGATGGGATCTATATGCCAACATTATTTATTTTCTCGTTCGATTGAGTGACAGGCTGTAAACTGTCACTGTCACAGTGTCACTCATTAATAGAGGGATTGAGCTCCAGAGCCATGAAATTATGCTCCAGCTATACAAAAGCCTCGTTCGGCCACATTTGGAGTATTGTGTCCAGTTCTGGTCGCCCCATTACAGCAAAAATGTGGAAGCATTGGAAAAGGTGCAGAGGAGATTTACCAGGATGTTGCCTGGAATGGAGGGAAGGTCTTATGAGGAAAGGTTGAGAGAGCTAGGGCTTTTCTCTTTAGAATGACGAAGGATGAGAGGTGACTTGATAGAGGTGTACAAAATGATCAGAGGTATAGATAGAATAGACGGCCAGAGACTTTTTCCTAGGGTGGAGGTAGCTATTATGAGGGGGTATAGTTTTAAAGTGAGTGGAGGTAGATATAGGGGAGACGTCAGAGATAGGTTCTTTACTCAGAGAGTGGTCAGGACGTGGAAATGCATTGTCGGAGAGGGTAGTGCAGTCAGCCTCATTAGGGGCATTTAAGCAGCTATTAGATAGGCATATGGATGATAGTATAAGGTAGGGGTGGAGGTTAGATAGACCTTATGATTAGGGTAAAAGTCTGGCACAACATCGTGGGCCGAAGGTCCTGTACTGTGCTGTACTGTTCTATGTTCTATGAAAGCACACGGCTCCCCGTGCCCTGGGACATGCTTGCCTCCCTGTGATATCCTCAACTTGGCATGCCTGAGATAGGAAGTGTTAAGGTGCTGCCAACTCTATTAACAATAGTTTCATAACTCCGCACCTCTCATTTGCCCAAGACCCCAGAGATCTACTCAAACAAAAGCTGAATTTTGACCCTCTCCAGCCCAGTGAGCGGAAGTTAAATGGTTGTTTCACATTGCGTTTCACTTCGATATTTAATCACTCAGCCTCAAGAAGACCAATTTTAATAGTTGCTAATGTGGGAATGTGTTTACTCACTAGGTCACCTCTGCCACCCTCCATGCCCATATATCACGGAGAAGCAGTTTGTTCTTCGTGGTCCTTGGGGATATTACCTGAACATCAGGTCAATTTGCATGTCCACATCCACCAGGAATTTCTGCAGTTTCACAGTGTCACACAATACTGCCTTTAGGTTCCTTAAGAGCTCTTCCACCTGAAAGATCAGCACTTGTTAACTACTGGTTATCTTAACTTGCTTACTGGGTTAACAATCAGATGGATGGACCAGCTGTCTAATCACTGAGCAACACATGGAGTGTTCAAGAGTGGTTGTGGAAAGGGCAAACTGGGTCATACCTTTGTAAGAGGGGAAAAGAGGAATAGGGAGTGGGAATAGTGAGGACAATGTGTGAGGGCTGGGAAGAAAGTAAAGTCCTCAGAGTAACAAGTCAGTGTCCCATGTGTTAATTATATATATATTTTAAATCAACCTGTTCAGAGATGTCATGACACACCTCTGGAGCAGATAGGACTTAAAACTTGGGGCCTCCAGTCCCATGGTAGGAACATTACCATTGTGCCAAATGTTAATTGTATTAAGTGTTTCACTGCATTCCAGTGGTGACCATTGTTTGGTGATTCACTTGATTTCCACTAAATTGTCTGGTTTATGTTTGCATCATATAAATCGGTAAATGAATTGTAAATTGCGTAAATATTGGCTCCAGTTCTATCTTGCATTAGCTGGCTTGCTAGAGCATACCAACACCGAGTGATGAGGCAGAGCCCCACAATGCAAAGGAGCAGTGCCCTGGGAGCCAGAGAAAGGTCTCAGTGTTAAAGCAGAGAGGAGTCAGAGTCCAATGGTCTCTTGCTAGTTGCAGTCTGGGTTTAAAATCCAAGGACTGTGCACAACGGCTGCCAAGTTGGGAATGCAGGAATAGGAATGGCTGCCCATCAGTTGAAGTGGAGCCGGAATTATAACGATCAGAAAGAACTCATTTTAAACAGCACCTTATATTCAAAATTTTGTGGCTAGCATTTATTTCTCATCTCTAGTTTCCCTGAGAAGATGAGGCCAAAGAACTCTATGGTCAACATAAGGTCCTTTTGAAGTGTAGTCACTATAGTAATGTAGGGAAATTGGTGCTTAATCTGTGCACAGTAAGATCCCAAGAACAGCACTGAAATAGATGAGAGAATAATTCTTATTTGTGATGTTGCTTGAGGAATTAGAAACATGGAGAAAAACTTCTTTTCACCCAGAGGCAGGCAAATATCTAGAACTTACCATCTGAAAGGGTGGTACAGACAGAAATCCTCATCTTATTTAAAGAATATTTGTAACAACATTTGAAGTGCTGAAAATAACAGCTTTGTATCCTGAAGAATGAGATCAGACTGGATCATTCTTTAATAGATAGTAGACATAATGGGCCAAATGGCTTCTTGCATTGTAAATGATTCATGTTTGCATGAATAAATGCTGGCAGACAGCAGAAGAACTCCACTGTTCTTCTTCAAATGATCTTTAAGGTTCACGTGGGCATGCAGAAAAAGTATTAATTCAACTTCTTAGTCCCTCAGCATTGCACTGAGGTGTCAGCGTAGCTTGTTATGACTCAGTGTCAGGAGTTCTGCTACTGAGACATTGCTGGCATCTCTGAAACAGGAAGCAGCTGCTCTCAGTGCTCTGCCAGACACCACCTGACACTCCAAGTCCATTTTGAGCTTCAAGCACAGGTGCAAAAGCCATACAAAAGGACTGTTGGAACCGACTCATAGACATTTCCTGAGATTGTTCCACTGGATGCTTTCCCTGTGTTTCTGTAGCACGTAACATTAACGTTGCACTGACCATTTGAGCTCTTCACCGGTTTAATTTCAGGAAAATTATATCTGCCCCATTAATTCCAAATTGAGTTGCTAACCACTACAAATGAAAACCAGAAAAATGGTCCCTCAAAGTATTTGGAAAGCTAGGGAGACATGGGCACTGATTATTATTAATGAGCATCAGGAATAAAAGAGTCAAGATAACATTCTTCTTTAACCTTCCTACCAAAATGGACAGTTTCACATTTTCCCATAGTATATTTCATTTGTCAGATCTTTGCCTAGTTACTTAAGCTAAATATATCCTTTCATAGCCCCTTATGTCTGCTTCACAACTTACTTTCCAACATATCTTTGTGTCATCAACAAATTTGGCAATCATACCTTTTGTCTCTTCATCAAAATCATTTATATAAACTGTAAACAGTTCAGGTCCCAGTACTGATCCCTGTGGCACACCACTCATTACATCTTGCCAATCTGAAAAATACTCATTTATATCTACTCTTTGCTTGCCATTTGCCATCCAAAATTCTATCCACATCAATGTGCTACCCCCTGACACCATGAGCTATTATTTTCATCATAACCTTTGATGTGGCACCTTATCAAATGTCTCCAGAAATCTAAGAACAGTTCATCCATCAGTTCCCCTTTATCAAAACCTATAACAAAATATTATAGTGTAACTTGTATGTTGGAATTGCTAAGCTTCCAAGATGGTAGTGGATTTCCAGGAATTAAATTTGCATGGTGGAGGAAATAAACCCAGGGACAGAAAATGAAGGCACTTATAAGAAAACTGTGTTTCTTCCCCATTTCTTGGAACAATTTCATCACGAGCTTTAGAAATGGAAAAGAAATCTGATTCACTGCATTGGGCAGCTGGAAGGGAAGGGTCTTATGATGAAACCAAACTGAGTGTTTCGGACTATTACTGCAAGCTTGAACTTGTGTCAGTTAGAAAGTAATGACTGATGACTGATAAATACGTGCACATTGAATCCCAAAATAGTAACCAAATGTTTGCCACATTTCCATTATTGCCATGCCAACAAATAATTTTAAGGCAACTTTTACTTCCTCGGGATGTCGCAAGGCAAACTAATCCATTGGTTGTAAAGTGAAAGACTATTTTGTAGGAAAACATTCTATCCAATTTTCTCACATGGTCCCATATACAAATCACTTGCCAGTAATCAGTTCATCTATTTCTATTGGTGTTGTTTAAGTGTTGAGTTGAACAGTGAGAGAATATCTCTGCTTTTCTTTGAACATTGCCTGGTAATATTTAACTTTCACTTCAGTTGCCAGACTCGGCTCAGTTGAAGATCTTGTTCGAGAGGGGAATGATACCAAGGGATGTGATGCTCATTCACTCTCTTGCATCAAAGTGTCACGTTGTGAGACAGTCATACTCAATGAGAGAGACAATTCATCAATTTTGCATGATGGTTCTTTACATTCTAAACAGAGTGATCAAGAGAAATACCATTATTGGAGAACCACCAAAACCAATTTTCCTGATTATTTCCTCCAGGCATTCCTAACCCCTGATGAGCACCCATTTCTTAGACACAACGGAAGGAGCTGTGGTGGGAGGGTAGATGTGTTTCTCTTGGCTCTTTGACTCCTTTACAGTGCCTCAGAAATCCAGAGCGCATGTTGGAGACTACACATGGAACAGCTGGAGTGGTAGTGCTTTCGTGCTGTCTCGCTAGCCTTTACGTTGACCCACTGTGCTACCAACATGACTGGCACTTAAAGAGAGGACCCTCATGGGTCAGAAGAATAGAGAAGACCAAGGGCAGTTCTAAGAGAAAGGAGGAAGTCAAAGTCAGTTCTCATTGAGACGCACGCCTCAACCAGGATGACCTCAGTCCTTTCTGGGTGTCGGTCTCCAAATGAAGACGAAAGGCCAGAAAGGTAGGTTCCCAGAAGTGAGTGGACATGTCTCTTAAATCTACCTTTGTACTAGTTTCCTTCCCTGCCAATTAAAGCCCAGCCTAGTAGAATACCCAAGGTGTTAGTGGCCTGAGCCAGGAAGTAGTTGCATTCCTGAACCTGGATAGGCACAACACATATTGATCTCACAGCCTCTCTCCACTGCCTGGGTGAACTCAGTGCAGAAAATTATTACTACCACTTTCTCAACTTAAAATACAGTTGTACAACAGAGCATCAATCTCAGCTGTCTTACTCAACAAATGTACCATTTACACTTTGCATTACTTGCCCTGTGACTGATGCTAAATTCCCATTAAGGGTTAGGGTTTTCTTACCTGTATGGAGAAACTGGTACCTTCCATGGCTTTGTCTGTGTCCAGGTAGATTAGCATTATCCCAAGAGATTTCTGGAGACAGTGCTCATCCTGGTTCGATATTTTCTCCGCTAAGGAAGCCAGGGATAGGGTGATATACATTTTCATTCTTGAAAAATGCTGAGTATGAGAAATGCCAGGTTAGTAGGTGTGTAATATTCAAAGTGTTTGGTAAATATTCAAATCCACATCAATGTAATTCATCACCATCAGCCCCTGACCTACTGATAAGTCAAGCCAGCAGGCAAGAGTTCAATCCTGCTGCAAAATGTTGTGACACTCAATGGGTGTGATAATTAATGGACTGAAAATATACTTTTGAGCCAGCAAAAAACACAACTTATTCATGATATCTTTCAGGGAAGGGGATCTACCATTCCTAATCCAATCTGACCTTTGTGTGACTCCAGACTAACACAATTTACTCTTAATGCCCTCTCGGGTGGTTCCTCTACCTTTTCAGAGAAATTGGGCACTAAGCGTAGCTTTGGCATTTTGAATAAAAAGATCTAGATCTCTGTGTTTTTCTGAAGAAGGGTCCAGACCCGAAACGTCAGCTTTCCTGCTTCTCTGATGCTGCTTGGACTGCTGTGTTCATCCAGCTCTACACGTTGTTATCTTAGATCTCTTTGTAGTCGGCTTGTCTCTTCGCAACTGTATGACATTCCCTCCCCCGGCAGAGGGTGTGAGTTGTAAACATAACTCTGTTTTCACTGTATGTCTCAACCATAGATGTACTTTGACCCCTGTGACATGGGCTAGTGAACCCTGCCATGTCAGCATACCTCCCTTCATCATAAAATTACTAAATTCTAATATTACTAAGACAAAAGCAGGAAATTGTGGGAAAAGTGTATGGAATTTGTGTCTTTGACTGTTTCCAGCCTATGGTTTGTAATCAATTGAACTGTGACTTGTTACCAGTAATAAAAACAGAAAGTGCTGCAAAAATTAGCAGGTCTGGCAGCATCTGTGGATAGAGAAACAGAGTTAATGTTTCAGCGTCTGTGACTCTTTGTCAGAATTTATTGGCGTTATTGCACCTTTCTTCATGGATGTTGATTGCTGTAGCCCAGAGGACCCAGACATTCTCCAACTTTCTCTACAAAGGCCCTCAAACATGGGCATGGGCAGGACAGAAAGACCTTCATTTATTTAACACCGTTCACAACAAAATCCCAAAGTGCCGCATTGAAATATGTGCTGGGATTTTCTACTCAAGTTGCAGCAGTGTAACTTTATCCACAGACATTGACAAAGAAGGTAAGAAGTTTTAATTGTGTAAATTAAGATTAAGTGTATACAGGAGGAAGGCAATCAATTGATAATTACTTGGGCACCTATTAGCTTATTAGTTTATTTGATTACTAAATAGAATATACAGAAACACTTGCATCCCAAAGGGTTGTTAATTAATTTTGTTTATTGTACTTCGAAAGAGTTCAATGAGACACTACCTCCGTGCCAAGTTGTCCCTGAGAAAGCACATGATGTTCACCAATAGGATTAAGGCCTTCCATGACCCATGGACCCTACAGGGGCTGGACTGCACCATCAACACTCAGAATATTTTTATTTGATACCTTTCGTCTGACAATTTTGTTACAATAACCTGAAAATACCTCTTTTAAAAAGGTTCTTTACTCATCATTTAGTTTATTGGCACTCAAGTAATATGAAATGTCAGTGGTGGGGGCCCTAGAGTTAGGAGCCATACTTTTGGAATGCATGTTTTGTAAATAAACCTAAAACTAAGTACAGATTAACTCTTGGCCTCATTCACCAATTGGCTGTGACAGCTTTAACAGACAGCATCCCTAATTTCTGTGGAAATTAAATTTTGAAGCTAAAATAACCCCAGAATCGCTCCAAATGATCCCTTACTCACCTCTTTGTAGCTCTGCCGCAGGAGGAGGTAGAGGGAGGCCGAGGCCTGGGCCCTTGTGCTCTCAAAATGACTCATACACCTTTGGAGCAGCAGCAAGCTCAGCTCCATGCAATGCTCCGAATCCTCGTCAAAAAGTATTTCTGGAAACTGCAACAGGGGCATAGCAACAACTCATTGATACTGCAGGAGGAACTTCTCAAATATTCAGGATATTAGCAATAAATCAACAGCATCAATGTGGTGTTAACAGCATCTGCGATTCAGCTAAGATTGGCGTATTTTAACCATCTGAATATATTTGTTTGTGTCTCTCAGACACTCACTCTCTCTCTCTCTCTCTCTCACACACACACACACACACACAATGCCACAGGTATGCATTGAAGAGAACACATTAATATAGACAAATGCACAGATTAATATTTAACCAGTTTATTAGTTCATTCATGGACAGCTAAACTGCAAGATAGGACTGTTTACTCAATGTCACCCAGCCTTGTCCTTTCCCGTGCCTAATTTGCTTCTATAATCTCACTTTTCCCTAGGGTAATCTGGGAAGAGGTGATTTATCCTGCGTCTAACTCTTCAAAATTAAAGGAACTAAATCTGCACTGAAGTCACAAGATATCCATCTTGAAACTTCTAGAGTGAGAGAGAGATTGACAAGAACAGATAAAGAGGCAGAAGCTGTAGGAGTTAGAAAGGTAAGAGACTCAGATAGAGAGACAGAAACTGTAGGAGTTAGAAAAGTTCCTGGTTGGTCTTTTTGTCCATTATTTTGGTTTCTTTGAAGTACTGCGTGCATATTTCTGAACTTTACATAAAGAGTGTTGCTCCATGCACTTATGAGTCAATGTCAGTCCATTGGGATGATTTGGTATCGACAAAGCAGTAGAATTTGAACACATACAGCTGTGTGGAACCTGTGAATCTTCTGTTTTGTTTGAATCTGAGTTTCATTTGCTCTTTTGCTTGGAACATGTGGTAATACAGCCCTCATCATCCCAAAGAAAACAGCTTCAGCACCATCCCCCCTCTTTTGAGTTCTTCCCAATGCTTCACCATCTAGGAACTCTCAATTGTTTCTCCTCCATGAACAGTAGCCGTGTTAACCCCAATGAAGAACTAGGAAATCCTCACATTCAACAACTCATTCCCAAAGCTACCACCCCATTCATGAAACATCTCCTTACCTTGGCGATGAGGGCTCTCTGTGTGTTGAAGCAGTTCTGTAGGTACAGGGTACTTTGGTTGCAGCACAGGCTGTGAATCAGGACCTTCAGGACGCCCATGACTACAGGTTTAGACTCCAGCATCGAGCTGAACTGCTGAAAGGATGGAAATGCTGTTAAATCTTTGGCTGGATAACTGAGCAGAGAGGAATGGTGCATTCCTCTGACTCCTTCCTCTCACAACCCAGGAATGAGAGGAATTAGGGTTTGACTCTATAAAGACTAATCATTTCCAAGAATAGTGTTTCATAAAAACAGCGGAGAGGCAGTTTGAAAAACAAGGTTTGACACTGCATGAGTGATATCTTTATCAGTTATGTTATAATGGTAATAGACTGTACTGGCTAATACATACACTTGTGGGTTAAGGAGATAATAGGAACTGCAGATGCTGGAGAATCTGAGATAACAAGGTGTAGAGCTGGATGAACACAGCAGGCCAAGCAGCATCAGAGGAGCAGGAAGGCTGACGTTTCGGGCCTAGACCCTTCTACAGAAAATCTGAATTTGAACACATACAGCTGTGTGGAACCTGTGAATCTTCTGTTTTGTTTGAATCTGAGTTTCATTTGCTCTTTTGCTTGGAACATGTGGTTTTCTGAAGAAGGGTCTAGGCCCGAAACGTCAGCCTTCCTGCTCCTCTGATGCTGCTTGGCCTGCTGTGTTCATCCAGCTCTACACCTTGCTATCTCACTTGTGGGTTAATATTGGGATGATCAATATGAAACCTCTATTAGGGTGAGAGACTGGGTAATTAGTCAGGCAAAAGTTACCACATTGAGTGAGAGCTGCCAGCCACCAGAGAATTCAAAAAGAATTCACCAAATATCTTCTATAAAATTTTAACCTGCTGTCTTGGAAATTTTGATTTTTGCAACTCTGAAGAATTCAGTTCCATTCAATTCAATACAGCACAGGGACAGGCCTTTGGCCTACCACGCCTGTGCCAATTCTGATCCTTATTTAGACCAGCTACTTACAGCCCATGCACAGTATCTATCCTTCTGTTCACCTCATGTTCATGTGTCTATCAAGATACACCTTAAACGTTGTTAACGTGCCTGCTTCCACTGCCTCCACTGGCAGTATGTTCCAGGCACCCATCACCCTCTGTGTGAAAAATTTTGCTCACACTTCTCCCCTAAACTTTCCCCCTCTCACCTTGAACCTGTGCCCTGTGAATGAAAGGGCCTTGTTCATTGACTGCGTCTCATCACCTGTGAGTCAATCACTGGTGCGCAGGAACAACGCCCTCAGAATATCTGAGTCCTTGAAAGTGAACACACACTAGTTTCTCAGTGTTCATTTTATTGAACTTTATTTGCCAATCATTAAACAGCGATGTCTGAAAGTAGGGGCTAGGAGGGGTTGAGATGGGGGTAGTGGGGAGAATGGACAAGAGGATCTTTGCACTTCATACCTGGACAATCAATTCCAGGGTGTCGAGCACAATCAGGTTTGTCTCCACGGTCAAATTCCCACTGACCAGGGCTTCTTGTTGAAGTTCCGCCTTCAACCTGAGAAGACGGAGATAAAAATCAGGGTTAGTGTCAGAGCTGGAAATACATGGTGTCAACTCGAGCGAGCCAGGAATTTAGAAAGTAATGGAAATAGGCCACTGGGTCCCACATCAAGTGTCCAGGAAATATCTCATTTCACACAGTCTTCACAGGCATTTCCCCAATTCTGCTTGGAATTTGCTGTCACAGTTAGACCTCTCTACCTCCCCACGGAGTTCATTCCACACTTTCACTACCCTCTACATAATGTAGCTGCAATCAACTCTTTCACAGCCTCTGGCCTTTAGGCTTGTGATCATGGTGTTTTGTGGAATCTGGAGCTGGATTTAGCAAAGCTGGCCAGGGTGGGCTAGGTGCCGAGAGGGTGGGTGGGTGGGCATGAATAATCATGAGTGAAGCCAACAGGAAAACTGACCGTCTTTAAAGCAGCAGCAGGAAGGTGTTAACATTGGAAACCCTAATTAATTAGGTTCATTACTGAAACAGGTAAAGGTCAGTGTCACTGAGCCCCACCAGGATATTGAGGTAGCTCAATGATTCTCCTGAATTCACATGGGTTTCCCATGCCTCCAGGAGGCCGTCTGGCAAACCCGGATCTGATTGACAGTGACTTCTCACCAGATTGCTCCTTCAAAGAGACGTAGTGCCCGATTGACGAAAGAAACTGGAGCAAGAGAAAGAGAAAGCGATGGTATTGCAGCAAAAAGTGCTGATCAGTGCTGTGCACCCATCTCCTTCACACTGGGGGACAGAGGATGGATGAGGCTATTGTTCCTGATAATGAGCACAGATCCTGTGTAAATGACAGCTTCAGGAATGACTCACCCTGAGACCCCTTGAGACAAGGTGTTGTCAAGTCAGTAATAGCTGGTTATGCTCATACTCACAAGAGGCAGTCCTTCACATACTCAGGCAAATAAAGATTACCAAGGCAGGGAACAGTATTCTCTTATATAGAAATAACAGTGTGGAGCTGGAGGAACACAGCAGGCCGGGCAGCATCAGAAGAGCAGGAAAGTTGACGTTTCGAGTCAGGACTCTTCTTCAGAAATGGGGGAGGGGGAAGGGAGGTCCGAAATAAATAGAGAGGAGGGGTGGAGCTGGGGAAGGTAGGTGGTATGGTGATAGGTGAGTGCAGGTAGGCAGTGGTGGGAATTGGTCAGTGAGGCGGGAGGCATTCAGAGCCCCCTTCCCCCTCCACCATTTTTGAAGAAGGGTCCTGATCCAAAACGTCAGTTTTCCTGCTCCTCTGACACTGCCTGGTTTGCTGTGTTCCTCCAGCTTCACACGGTTATCTCCGACTCCAGCATCGGCAGTTATTACAATCCTACTATTCAACAGTATTCTCTTACTTGTCTTTATCAACAGCTTGACGCCACTGCGTCAGGTCCTTTCGCCAGCGTAACTTCTCCTGTAGGCCCACACTCACCCGAGAGAATAACCTGTCAATTCCTGAAAATATGAAGATACACAGGGGAGACTTTGAGGAAGGTCAGGGAGGAATACCAACCACAGCCAGTGATGAAGTTTTCAGACCAGCATATAGAACAATACCTGCAACGTTAGATACCTGGTGTAGGGTTTTTACCTTTCACTTAGCTGACCAGCCACCAATACAACAACAGCCTCCCATGATATTGAGGCCTATAGGTCTCATTTAAGTGCTGCAGTTAAAGCTACAGGTGCCAAACCAATAACCAGACGCAGCTCGATGATTTGAGCAGTGATAGCGTCACCTTGTCCAGGCTGTTGGGGCTTGCACAATGTAGGGAATGACCCTTCACCTCACCTGGATATTCCCGGCGTTTCATCATCTCACTGCGGGCTCCTGTGGTTCCGAAGATGGCATCCTCCAGCCGTGCCTTCATGTCTCTCGACTTCCTGTAAACATGGCTGCCGATCTGTTCTGTGGATGGTTGGCCCTGCCGACAGATACAATTTTGTGTCATTCTGTCCTTGGTCCAGTCATGAAGGTAATTCCTTTCTCAGACGGCAATGTGAAGCGAAACGAAAGGAGAACAGGCCGGCGAGGTTACTGTGTCTGCTTCTCCTGCACAGTCTATTCAATCTGCATCAAAACACTATACAAAACAGGAACAGGAGTAGGCCATTGGCCTCTTGAGCCTGCTCTACTATTCAATAGGATCATGGCTGATCCGACATTCCTCTTGTCCACTTTTCTGCCCTTTCCCGGATTCCCTGACTGATCAACAATATATATATCTCAACCTTAAATACATACAAGGACACTGCTCCCTCTCAGCAAGGAGTTCCAAAGACTCTCAAGCCTCTGAGAGAAGAATTTCTTCCTCATCTCAGTCTAAAATTGGTGCCCTTGAATTCTGAGACTCTGCCCTCTTGCCCTAGACTTTCCCATGAGAGTGAACATCCTCTTAGCATGTACCCTGTCAAGGTCCTTAAGAATCCGATGTTTTAATGAGATCACCTCTCATGCTTCTAAACTCTGGTGAGTAGAGTCCCAAACAGTTTAACCCTTACTCATAAGACAATCCCTCCATACCAAGGATCATCTAGTGAACCTTCTCTGAACTGTCTCCAATGAAATAATATTTCCTTAAATAAGGGCTGTCAGTACTCCAGAAGTGGTCTCTCACCAGCACCTTGTACAGTAGCACTGACACTTCCCTACTCATACTCCAAACCCCTTGAAATAAGGGCCAACATTCCATTAATATTCTCGATTACCTGCTGCACTTGTCTGCTAGTTTTCTGTGTTTCGGGTATAAGACCTCAAGTCACTTTGTGTTGCAATTTTCTGCAATTTTTTTCTATTTAAATAATATTCTGGGTTTTTTTTGTTCTCCCTTCCAAACTGTTCCTTTACTGTGGTGGGGTCAAAATCTTGGAACTTCCTCCCTTAAAGCACTGTGGATATATCTCCATGACATGGACTATAGCAGTTCAAGAAATTGGCTCAGAACCACCTTCTCAAGGATAACTAGGGATGGCCAATAAATGCTCAGAAACGAACAGATGAAATAGGGGCAGAAATGCCTCTCTAACAGGTTTACTGTTTTGGATTCTGTTGAGGTGGATAGTCTCTCAGGGGAGTATAACAGCAACAGCCAGGTCTGTGGCACCACAACTGGCTCTGCTGTAAAGCAGGGTCAGGCAAGATCCAAGCGAGCAATAGTGGTAGGAGACTCACTAGTTAGGGGCACAGACACGTGTTTCTGCAACCATGTGTGATACTCCAGAGTGGTGTGTTGTCTCCCTGGTACCAGGGTCAAGGATATCTCTGAGCAGTTGCACAAAATTCTTAAGGGGGAGGGTGAGCAGCCAGAGGTCGTTGTGCACAGTGGCACCAATAGCATAGGTAGAAAGAGGGAAGAGGTCCTGTGGAGTGAGTACAGAGAGTTAGGAAAGAGGCTGAAAAGCAAGATCTCGAGGGTAGTAATATCTGGGTTACTCCCAGTGCTACGTGCTAGTGAGGCAAGAATAGAAAGATAGGACAGATGAATATGTGGCTAAGGAGCAGGTGTAGGGGGCAGAGTTTCAGATTCTCGGATCATTGGGACCTCTTCTGGGGCAGGAATGACCTGTACAGAGGAATAGGTTGCCCTAAAATGGAGGGGAAACCAATATCCTCATATGGAAGTTCACTGGTATTACTTGGGAGGGTTTAAACTAGAGCGGCAGGGGGATGGGAACCAGAGCAGCAGGTCAGTAAGTGGAGGGATGGATGGGGAAGGTTGGTAGATGTTAAGACCAGTAAATCAGAAAGGAAGGACAGGCAGAAGCAGGTAAATGAACACAATGGTACTAATGGGCTGAAGTGTGTTTATTTCAACACAAAGTGTATTGCAGGTAAGGCAGATGAGCTTAGAGCCTGGATCACTACATGGGACTATGATGTTGTGGTCTTACAGAGACTTGGTTGAGAGAGAGAGACTGGAGCTGCTCAACGTTCCAGGGTTTTGTTGTTTTAGGCGAAATAGAGAGGAAGGTAAAAGAGATGGAGGAGTTGCATTCCTAATCAGGGAGAATGTTACATCTGCACCCAGAGGGGACATGCTGAAGGGCTCATCCACTGAGGCAACATGGGTAGAGCTCAGAAATAAGATGGGTGCAATCACTCTGATAGGATTATGCTATAGGTCCCCCCAGCCACCACTGAGACATTGAGGAATAAATATGTACGCACATTATGGAATGATGCAATAACAACAGGGTTGTCATAGTGGGTGAACTTCCCCAACATCGACTGGGACTCTCATAGCAAAAAGCTTAGGGGACAGGATTTGTTAAGTGCATCCAACAGGGATTCATGAAACAGTACGTGAATCCAACTAGAGGAGAGGCCATAATGTACCTTGTACTGGCTAATGAGCCTGGCCAGATAACTGACCTTTCAGTGGGAGAGCATGTTAGAAAAAGTGGTCACAACTCCTTAAGTTTTAGGATAGCTAATGAATAAGGATATGTCGTGACCTTGTGGGGAGGTACTAAATTGTGGGAGGGCAAGTTACATCAGTACTAGGCAGGAGCTAGGGAGTGTTAATTCGGAGGAGCTGTTACCAGGCAAGTACCAGGCATGTGGGATTTGTTTAAAGATGTGCTGATGAGAGTTCAGGACTGGCACGTTCCAGTAAGCAGGAAGGACAAAGATGGCAAGGTAAGGGACCCTTGGATAATGTGGGAGATTGTGAATTTAGTCAAAAGAGAAAAAGAAGATTTAGGAAGCTAAAATTGGACAGGGCCCGTGAGGAATATAAAGAAAGCTGGAAAGAACTCAAGCAGGGGATTAGGAGAGCAAGAAGGGGCCATGACATGACCTTGGCAAGTAGGGTTAAAGGGAATCCCAAGGCATTCTACAGATACATTAAAAACAAGAGGATAACTAGGAAGAAGGTAGGGCCACTCAAGGATAAAGGAGGGAACTTATGCTTGGAGGCAGAGGATGTGGGTGAGATCCTAAATGATTACTCTGTGTCAGTATTCACCCAGAAGAACGATATGGAAGATAGTGAGATTTGTGTGGAGCATGCTAATATGCTAGGGCATTTTGAGTAGGTCTCTTGAAGAGCATTAAGGTAGATAAGTCCCCAGGGCCCGGTTGTATCTACCCCAAGTTATAAAGAGAGGCAAGAGGGGAGATTGCTGGGGCCTTGACCAAGATCTTTGTATCCTCATTAGCCACTGGAGAGGGCCCAGAGGACTGGCAAGAAGCTAATGTTGTTCCCCTGTTCAAGAAGGGCAATGCGGATAATCTAGGAACGTATAGACCAGTGAGTCTCACATCGATGGTTGGGAAGCTATTGGAGAGAATTCTTAGGGATAGGATTTACACACGCTTGGAAAAGCGTGGCTTTGCACAGGGCAGGTCATGTCTTAATAACTTGACAGAATTTTTCAAGGACGGTGACAAAGGTGATCGATGAGGGTAGAACAGTAGATGTTGTCTGCATGGATTTTAGTAAGGTTTTTCACAAGGTCCCCCATGGTAGGCTCATCCAGAAGGTTAAAATGCATGCGATCCATGGTGACTTGGCCGCATGGATTCAGAATTAGAGATAGTAGGAACTGCAGATGCTGGAGAATCCGAGACAACAAGGTGCAGGGCTGGATGAACACAGCAGGCCAAGCAGCATCATAGGAGCAGAAAGGCTGACGTTTTGGGCCTAGACCTTCAGGGTCAGACAATACAAAGATCGATGGAGTTGTGGATAGTGTAGAAGGTTGTCAAAGGATACACCGGGATATGGAACAGCTGCAGATATGGGTGGAGCAATGGCAGATGGAGTTTAATCCAGGTAAGTGTGAGGTCCTGCACTTTGGCGATCAAATGTTAAGGAAAAATAAAAACCAAAAGAACTGTGGATGCTGCAAATCAGAAACAAAAACAGAAGTTGCTGGAAAACTCAGCAGGTCTGGCAGCATCTGTGAACAGAAATCAGAGTTAACGTTTCAGGTCCAGTGACCTTTCCTCAGAATTGATGGTGTCTAGGAAAATGTTGGTTTATATGCAGAAGATAGGGTGGGGGGAGCGGGTAAGGAGTAAATGATAGGTGGGGATAGAGCCCAAAGAGGGAGAAGAGCAGTTGGACAGACAAAGGAATTGATAGTAATCTGACTAGGAGAGTGAATAGCTGTGGAGACTGTTAGCGGCTACAAATAGGTAATATGTAATGGCAGACTATGTGATTAACAAGGCCTGGTGTGTGGGGTAGGGGGTTAGGACATGGGAGGGTTCAGGCCCTAAAATTATTGAATTCGATATTGAGTCTGGAGGGCTGTAGGGTCCCCAAGTGGAAAATGAGGTGTTCTTCCAGCTTGCACTGAGCTTCGCTGGAACACTGCAGCAAGCCTGAGACAGAGATGTTGGCCAGAGAACAGGGTAGTGTGTTAAAGTGGCAGGCAACAGGATGCTCAGGGTCTTTTTTGCGAACAGAACGTAGGTGTTCTGAGAAGCAGTCACCCAGTCTACACTTTGTTTCCCCAATGTAGAGGAGACCACATTGTGAGCAGCAAATGCAGTAGACTAGGTTGTGTTAATTGCAAGTAAAGTGCTGCTTCACCTGAAAGGTATGTTTGGGCCCTTGGATAGTGGGGAGGGAGGGGGTAAATGGGCAGGTGTTACGCCTTCGGTGATTGCAGGGCAAGGTGCCATGGGGCTGGGGGAGGGTGTTGGGGGTGAAGGAAGTGTGGACCAGGGTGTCCCGGAGGGAACGGTCCCTGTGGAAGGTGAACAAGGGAGGCGAGGGGAATATGTGTCTGGTGGTGGCATCTTGCTGGAGGTGGCAGGAATGGCAGCTGATGATCTTCTGGATGTGGATGCTGGTGGGATGGTAGGTAAGGACAAGGGGAACCCTATTACTATTGCAGGAGGGAAGAGAGGGTGTGAGGGCGGAAGTGCAGGAGATGGGTCATACTCAGTTCAGACCCCTATTGACAATGGTGC